CAGAGTAAAATATCATTTCTCTAGCCATTTGTATGATCTTTTGATATCAGTCCATTTGCAGGTCTTTAGTGGCTCTAAATCTGACTCCATTTAGATCGGACGAATGATTGTTATTGAAATATACATGACACCAATCCTCGTATATAATCATCCACTCAAATCGCGTTAGTGAATTACGGAATTAAATAAGTCAAATACAAGAATGAATTTTCGAATACGTATTTTGTGTAAAATCGTTCATCAGAATAGATAATCAGGGAGACGTAGCGAAGGAAGAGAAAAGAGAGTGAAGCGAAACGAAATGACGTGCGATGAAGGCGTGTGAGCCAACTCGGTCTAACCAAGCGCTAATCGATATTCCTAGCTAGACAAAAACAAGTTACAGGTATGTGATGAGTAAGATAAGAAATGCACACACACGTATGCTTACATAAAAAGTCAGGGTTGACAAGCGAATAATTAAGGTCAAAATGTAAATCAGGAAAAATGAATAAATTGTTTGTTCAGAAGCTGGAATAAGCTATATGGGCTTAACATAGTAACCGACACTACAAGCCTGCATCAATAATTCGGGTTTGTGAGCACTTATAAATCAATCATCCATTTTGTATAATATATTGATATACACTCTTATTATTTTTGACAAATCGCACTTGAAAGTATTCAGAATTCAGAACCATCATATATAAACACCATTCAAAAACATAGTAATAATCTTTTTGTCACAATGATGTTGAATATTTGACGAGGTCCTCAAAATGTTATTCGAATAAACGACGATTAGTTTTGCTTAGAAACACTTATTGATGCGACTGAATTGGACCAAGATTTCTATCAGATGTAGTAAATATCAAACGTTATAAGCAGGAGTGTGTTGTGAAATGGATTAACATGGTGAGGACATATCAATAAAAAATTTTGACAGCCAGAATTCAATACATACTTTATCAGTTTAAAACCAAACTGAAGACGCAGGTTGAGTAACTTTCTGGGATATCTATTTTTCGTCCTCCAACTAAAATTAACCAGCAGGCGTATACAGAATTTTGATTTCGAGGAATTTGTGAACTTGGCTTTCCTGTGGTTACCGCAAAAGTATGCCAATTTCCGCTTATAAACTAATGTTATCAACGAATGACACTAGTCGCAAACAATGTTCAAGTTGGCATATATCAGCACTAGTTCGGATTCCAATAATTAACATCCTCGTAGCGACGAATTTATCAAGTGGACATTATATTAATAATAGTAAAGTGTTTGTAAGGTTGGGATGAAGTGTGCTAATCCAAATCATTCCACCTAAAGCTTCAGACCAACGATTAGGAATAAACTGCGAAACCCAACAAAGTTTGCACTACCAGAAAATGGTGCACCTCACGTTGACCAACTATAATATACATGCCAAATACCACTTTCCAGAGCTAACCTATCGCGAAGCAATTTTCTTGGTTACGCAAAATTTTTTTGAGTGCTATACCTGTAGAGTAACGAATTAGAACACTTCTGTTAAAATATATATGAGATCTCTCTATGTAAATGTGAAAGAAAACATTCTTCAAGTTATAAAAGCGATTAGTAGATAATGAGACTGACTGTCACAACTTTGTGCTGCTAATTAGGAGATATTATATAGATGCGACATTATAAACTCTATATCGGAGGTATATCACACATACATAATAATTAAACACTACCATCTGAACTCTTGCTGCCACTACGTTTTTGTGACAATACGCTCTTCAGTCTCCACAAGCAGCATTTTTAGCAACTTAATTTTTTAAACCTACGTCTTATACTTACCGGTAAAAACTATGTGAGCACTATCCACATGACAAATAAGTACATTTAAACACTTTGCTAATTGATTTGCATACTTGACAAGCGGCTTGTGAAGTGGTCTTTCAAATAAAAACAATTCGAAGTTACGTTCCCATTTTACCAAAAAATACACGTACATTATTCCGCATAATTAGCTTACAAGAAGCTGGATGTCAAAATTGTTTATGAAAGTTACTTAAATAATAAAGATGTAAACGTAGTATAGATGGTCAAATCTCAGGTAGAAACTTTTAGTTCATCAAATTTAGTATGCAGAGTTATTGTGTGGACATGAGGTATTCATTCGACACGAAGGAAATGAGTAAATCCCAAGGATTCTTTTGTCAGAGAGATTACTCCAAGACGGATCAACGAAATAGTTATTATATTTAGGTATGGTGAATAATATTGCCAGGAAGAAGCATAAATGTAACTCAGGAATTTGGTTGTATATGTGAACTACAAAAGTTAATTTAGGTTGTAAACTGTTGATGCATGAATATTAACTACTGCCAGTCCGATATAGTCAAATTTACCCATCGACCGGATATTTAAAACAAGATATTTCAATGTATTTTTCGATCTTTTTAATTATGAACTAATATTATATAAATATTCATACTCCCCTCATTATAAGCTTTTATCTGATCTATTGACCATTACCATACGACTTACTATTCTTGAGATATTCCCAAATTATTAGTAACAGTCTCTTACAATCAGAGCCACTTTTTGGCTTGATCTTGAACAAATGTTATTTCCTATTTCATGGTGTGGTCTGATTTGTTTGTATATAAACCAAGTATGGTGGTCTAGCTTCAATTGACTTATGATTTCAACTTTGAAAAATACTGAAATCTCCACAAATCCCCTTCTAAATATAATCATATGCTCACTAGTGACTGACTTCAAGATACATGTCCTGGAGTTATAGTGGGAAGCAGTGACCAGCGGAGTTCAACCACGTCCGTTGTGAGATATCAACTCACTGAAGACAATTGGTGAATGGTTGCTCAACTTCGTGGATCAGTTGAAGTTAGACATTAACACCGTTGGATGCCAGCTCAGTGGTCTATCGGTTAAGGGCTTCGGCTCGAAACTGGTAGGTCCTGGGTTCGAATCCCGCGATAGTGGGTTCGTGGATGCGCACTGCTGAGGAGTGCCATAGTAGGACGAAACGGCCATCCAGTGCTTCGATGGTGGTCTAGCTTCAATTGACTCATGATTTCAATTTTGATAAACCAAGTATGTTTGAAATATATGAGTCGTATCACGGAGGCTGAGATTGGCGTTTTGAACTTCACGGGCGGAGCTAGACGGAAAAGGGATCAATAGAGACTCTAGTCTGTGCATACTGATGTAAACGTCGTTAGCCTGGTCGTATAAGTCAGCGTATTTGAATTGGGAATCGTATAGCTAAGGACATAAGAATTTACACATTGAACTGATTTATTTCTACTTTCAGCCAGGTCGTGTTGTACAACGGTGAAGATTAGAGCGTGACGCGTAAATGTGCCCATGGTTTGTTTCGTTTTAAGACGAATAAAAATTGACCTTACAGAATAAACTTTTGAAATATTTGCAGAAGTATAATTTGAAGTGTACTCCACGTTTCAACTGTAAAACGTTTCTGAATATTATATTGTAATTAATCCTAAAACAAGTGATAGTCAGAGTAATGCAAAAAGGTGACAATAGTTCCAACTCCAGTGATCTGGTAAGACTGCAGTCAGTCAGCTACAACGTTAGGGAAGATTGCAAGATGTTAGTTAAGAGTACACTGTGATTAGTGAAATCAAAGCAGTACTACGTCAAGAACAAAACACCTGGGTTGAGTGAGATTCCCTACATAGGCATTTGTGACTTTAAATACCAGTGGTTGATCGCTCTTAGTGTCTTCAACCACTGAAGACACTAAGAACGATCAGATTGATGAACCTATTTGATTCTCTGTAAATCAAGGCTTTACTATTCAATATGACCATATACCTTTATTAATACTGAAATGAATTTTTCGTCTTTCAGTGACTTGGAATCCTAGTTAAAAGTGACGTGTTTCTGTCACAACTCAATGTTTAGGTGATTTTTCCAGAGATAAAAAAATTGAAAATTAACTGAATTGGAACTGTCAAATACGCACAGCGTATCGGTTGAGCCACGTTATAATAATACTACCTGACTTGAAATGTTGGTAGGTGTGACTAACAACTTATTAACTACTATTCTGGTACTGAAATGGAAAAATCATACCACAAACCGACAACACTTAAATGGAGTGGAACGCTATGTCTTTGGAAAATGCCATGGTAACCGAATAGTTTTGACATAAGCACTTAACTCTTTATACAGCGCTACTAGGCATTCGGCATCCGTTATTAGAAACTACTAGAAAACACCGTTATTACTGAGCATAACCCACAATCACATGATTTATAGGGAATAAACATAAAGAAAACGGCAAATGTCAGATCATTAGGTTGAGGATTTGTGGTTTTTTTGAAAATTTCTGATCTAATCTGGATTCGTAACAAAAGCTAATAGCCTTAATAATAACTTATCGGTTATTTGCTGCCCATCCCTTGTATTTGGAGAAAGTGTTTTCCTGCTAACGAGAACATTTTAGGAGGATGAAGTAAGCCAACTGAAGCCATACTGAGTATTGAACTGACGCACACCAGTGCTAGACGTAACGTTAATTATGACTAGCAGATACTGAACCTGACTGGGTAACACTAGGCCAAACAACAAGTAAGAGATAATACAGAAAATGAACGAAAACTTCGGACAATAAAAGTGTTTTATACCCAGAAACCAATAGATATCTTGAGAAGCTATAAACTGTCTTCTGTGAAAAAATATAAGTTGCTAAAACTGATAACCTGAAGAGGTTAAGAGTATAAAGAGGAAACAGAAAATAATAATTACGAAACAAACTGTTCACTTTTAATATTCATCCAGAAGTAAGAAGTCAAAAAGCTGTCGGTATATGTTTGTTGCTAATACAACTTAGAGTAATAAGTTTGGATTCCACCACAACTTATTCAGTTTGACAGACTACGTAGTGTATAGCCCTAATATAAAAGGCGTGACCGAATCAAAAGTACGAAACCATGGTTACCGAGTTATAAAAGATATCAATAACAGAACATAATGGGTATTCAAGTGATTTAAATGCAAATTACCAGCTGATACAAGCTAACATTTATCATGGTTGTTCAGGCGAGTTCAATCTAGTGATGAAAATAGAGACAATACCGCGATTTGAGCCCACGTCTGCAAACGAAAACAGATTTTAGTTTAATGTTGGAACCTACGCTATAAAGACAAAGCTTCCTGATTTGCTTTACCAACAATAAGATATAGGTCAGATGAATGTAACCGTAAAACGTAGACTTTATATCACAATTCGAACACTAGATCCATAAAAACAACAAATTATTTGCCGCTTTGTTGGGAATTTATGACAATTAACCTAAAGAGTTATCAGAAGAACAAGACGACCAACTTTACTGCTATATACTGAAAGTTATAGTTTCCCTTTGACTTTACAAATCACATTTCTATTCTTGAAGATTGATGACAAGCCAGCCCCAAAGTATTAAGGAAAAACTGAAAATCTACTTACAAAGATATTAATTTTATTCATAATACATGACTGGCTGACTAATGTGAATTATGACATGCATGATCTCACTCAGGAACACCGCTGCAAAATCAAGGCTTGTATTACAAGCTAGTGATTACAGATTAGAATAAATAATCGACTATTTACAAAAACGATCAGCAAGGTCACATAAAATTGAAGATTATCTAGTAGCTAGATTGTGCATTCAGAGGGGGAAAGTCGGGCATATGCACAAAACAAGAACATAAAATCCTAACCAACCATAAGTCCAATGCCAAAAGAGTATTTGGCTTTTACTTGGTTGCACATTGCACAAAGAGAAAATGTGAAAGGAAATGGAGTTAATTTTTTTTCGAAAGAGGAAGCTATGTTCCCGTTGGAGTCTATTTGTGCTTTGAAGGTGAAATTCGCCTTGGGAATATCATATTTGTAACCTAAAGTGGTAGTATTTGATTGTTGTTGATAATTAGATTCGAACTCCGCTGCCAACTGGAGATTGTCGTCAATTTGAATATGGAAACTACCGTGAAGTGAATTCTGCCATGGTCGGATAGTTGCAGCACCTTGCCAATGTGAAGATGTGTACTTTGCACCAAAGCTAAAAACGCCGTCTTGCCCTGCAGGCAGCTGTGGAGAGCATTGGTAAAAGAAAGCACTTCCAAGAGCTAATCGTTTCGTGATTTGACGCATTACATCTAGCGCAACCATACACTGACCACGACCAACATCAGGATTGATAAGAGTTAAAGACGTTTGAACTTTTGGCTTACGATACTCTACACAAGCTTGTTGTCCACCGAAGCGGTGACGTTGAAGCTGAGCAATATAGCGAACATATATTGAAGGAAACATTCGGTGAATTATTTGAGCCTGCATATTTCCACTGGGCTGAAGTTCACCCATCAAAACCGGATAACTTTCCGTATCTGAAACTTTGTTGTGCCCGACATACGTAACACCGAAACGGTAACCAGATTGTTCATCGGAATTTAGTGAAAGAGAGTGGTTAACTTGGAAGTTGGGGGAAAGTCCTTTATTAACAACTAATCTACCACCCTCAAAAGGCACGGGGAATATGTCATGGGCTTTATTGTGAATGTTCTCAACAGTTCCAGGGCCTTCGACGTTTGGACTGTCTTGCGATTTTGTTGGTTCAGGCTCAGCAAATACATCATCCTTGGGAGTGGATGCATGCACTGCATTGCCCATAATTCTAAACAAAACAAGACAGGTTAATAAGTCTGCGAAGTTTCCGAGATTAGATTATTTAAGTGAATGGAAATAAAGACCCAAAGTTTTACACTACACACACGCTTACATTTGATATAGCCCGCGAAATAAAGTCACTACTTAAACACATATGTTAGAAATACTTTTGTGCTGATGAGTATGCATGATTCCAAGACTCTTTTACGAAAATAAAGAGTTTTTATTCGGCATATTTCAGTATTCCAAAAAATTTATAATTAGTAGCAATTACAAAAATTAGACATAATGGAGCATTAAAGTCAAGAGCGTTTACTGAGCATTAATGTGACTTTTAGTATTTTCTAGTAGGGCATTGTTGAAGCAGTGAGAAAATTGCACCGCAGGTATATATTTGTTGACAAGTAACAAAGAACATACCAAAAATATACACGTAATTGTACATTTGGGTTGCAATGAAATCGTCTTGGTTATAACCGCTGCAATGACTATTGGCTAAGCTAAGTGTTATGTAATTGAATGAAATAGGCAACAACATCAAGAAGTGATATGAAAAACTTGTCATGGTAGTTATATGTTGCCATGGATTACCATGATTATATAGCGGTAAATAAATCCTCATGTAGCTGTAAATAGTTCCCCAAAACCAATAGTTCGACATTGGATGCTGACCACGTTGTTTAAGTGGACTTGTTTAACTGAAGGCTTTCGGTCATGCATCCGCACCAGATCACGTTTCGAACCAGCGTGGGACACTGCTCCTACGTTCACTAGCTGGATTAGATCAAACGCTCCTCGATATATTGATAACTTGTTATCAAAACTAAGAACACTGGCACTTTATAATGTGTTAATAATATTGGTGTATTTGGAGCTTAAAATCTTAATCTACCTGCTGTTTGGTTGAAAGCTTGGAATATGTCATTAGACCATCCCTTAGGAAAGGACCAGAGTAAGAATTGCGAAAATTACTTCAGATTGTTGCATATTACTGGAATTATCCTTGAAATTTTAAAACTTTTACGTTTCTGGTTCCTTGTGTGTACCATGTGCCTCCTAAAAGATTCGGTTGACTTTAACCGATTCTTGCATTCTCTTCTCGACTTACATGACTGCTTTTCTCCGTGGATGCTTCAAATGAACTTATATATATCTCACGCTCATCATGGATGTCAGTCTCGTATGCAATTGCAAGTGTGATATTGCGATTGTACATACATATAATAGTTGTTTAGGAAATCAGTATAGAGTGACATGTGCATTCAATGATTATTGTAGAGAAAAAATAAAATCCACAAACTTCTCTTAATTTGTAACGCCCTCTCCCACAACCGCTAGCCAGTTTAGATTAGTCATTTCTCGATATACTGATAAGTTATCAAGTATATCTTCGAACCTCTTCGCTTCTGATTTCCGATTTTTCTGGATGGGCACGTTTCGATCATAGATGATGTTATTTGTTAAAGTGTTGTCAAACTACAATACCTGTGGCATTTTCAGTCTTACATATGATCACACTTATATTCAATACCTGATGTTTCCCTGTATCAATGGTTGCAAACGGATATAATTGTTTAGTTGTACCAATACACACACAACACTCCTGTTCTTAAAAATAAACGCTATTTCTGTCGCATGTTCTTCTACTTCATTGGTCGCGGCCTGTGATTGAGGGTTATAATGGTGTTACAACATTCTTTTAAAACGATAGGAGACCCTGGTCCTAGATTTCCTACCACTTGGCACCCCTCAACATGATGCAACTGTAATCTTTAGGGAACTCATGCTCTCTGATGGACTGGGTCCCTTGTCACACAGGTTCATGGTTAGAGACGTTACAACTGAGTTACTCGGGCCGCGACTGACCTCCTTTAGGATCCAGATGTGTTTACAGTTGGTTGATCACTGAGTAGTGATCAATGTCTTGTGTATCAGATCCTTCTTAGTGCAGATCGAATTCTATGGAACATTTGACACGGGATTGAATACGTCAGAAAGCATCAATCCCCTCAAGATTGTGGATACACCTTACTGACGAGTGCCAAACAGCACGACACCTAGGGCCGTGGTTTCATGTCGACTACCTCCATCCACCTTCTGACGTCCCTGTATGTGTCCGAGTACCAGTTAATTCTTTGTGCTCACTTTCACTAGTTTCTTTTTTAGACTGTAAACATGATTGTCTAGATACTATGACTATATTAGTTATCCATGTTTAACAAAATCGTGATTATGTCACGTTAAGAAGTTTTACTTCATAGAATATTTGTCCATAGTGTATCGTAAGCTGAGTACATCAAAGGAAGTTTTTGTCAAACTATTCCATTCAATATTTAAACACGCGCCAGTACATGTTTAAAATATCTGTCCCATTTGTTTTCTTTCTAAATGACAGTAACTAAGAAAAGCCCGAGCTCTAAAAATCAACAAAATCAAAATAACATCTTTTTGACTAGATGTCAAATGACTAATCCAAAGGCTTATCTCATAAGTAACACGTGGAAACAGGTGTATATGACCTGAACTGAAAGTGCACATGCACTTGCTCAGGAGACTGTCACCAGATAAGCTTAATATCGCTAGAGACGAATCCAACTACACGCTTCAGCTGGGCGTTATCTGTCTATCTATCTATCTATCTATCCCTTTGTATATTGCCCCAAAGAGAAACGAAAACAGTTGGCAACCTCGTGGGGGTTAGAAACCCCACAACCATCAAACTGTAACGGATAAGTACTCAATACCTCATATCTAATATTTTACAAACAGCTTGCAGGGTATGAACATTTTGACTAGAGTTCACTTGCTCAGGACATATCACATCTCAGTGGCTGGGGAAGATATTCCTAAGTTAGCTATTAGTACACATACCACTCTGCCTGTGTGACTGAGCACAGGTATTTTAAAGGTTTATGGAAAATTTACTTCGGGATATGCCATTTACACAGGAGTATATAGACGTTATGTTAATTTTCAGTTTACAATTAAAATCACCCAAACAGCGTGTAACAGCAGTGTTGAAACGGCTTGATGGAAATGAAAAGAACATACATCAAAGTGTGTTTTCGGCGTTCGGCCCCAGAATTATTCTCGGACAGACAATAAGCCCAGAACGGATCACACCTATGAAATAAGAGGTCACCAACAAATGCAACGGCCTACACCATATTCTCTAACCCAACTTAGGTGTTTTGAAGATCTAGTTAACTTTTATCGAAGATTCATACCTAGTTGTGCACAATTAAGGCAGTCCTTGACAGATTACCTCAGGGAAAAACCCACATTTTTGAACTGGTTTCTGAGGATGTTGAGGCTTTAAGCAGTTAAAGGATGAAGTAACCCAAGCACCTAAAGTAATGTTAACGAATTCTCATTCTCCATTCGCTTCAGTGGTAGATGTTTGCAAAAAAGTAGTAGGTGGTATCCTTGACCAAGTAATCGAAAGCGCCTGGAAACCGATTGCGTTATTTTCAAAACGACTTACATAATCAGAAATCAGACATTCTGCTTCCGGACGAGAATCGCTAACAATCTACTTGAACATCAAGCAATTCTAACACATTTTGGAAAACAGGGAGTGCACAGTTTATGGCAATCATAAACCAACATCAATGCATTAAAAGCTGAGCTGATAAGTAACCCACTTGAAAGATCCAACATCATGACTTTGCATAGCAGTTCACCAGTGACATACAACATGGCCAGGTAACAGATGCACTATCTCGACTAGAAATGAACGTAACGTGACAAGTAACCATAAATTTTTAAGCTTCGGGGGGATTACTGGAAGGAGGACATAGAATTACGAAACCAACTTGCGGCAAGGAACTCTAGACTCAATCCAAAGTGGCTACCATCATCTATTGAAAGCTGTTTGACTTTGTCTGAAAAGACCAAGGCGGTGAGTCGACTTTTCGCCTTGAAAGATATTCGAAAATTAATATTCAGTAACGTTCATACTATGTTTTATCATGACACGAAAGCCGCTACCAAACCAATTACTAACAGATATATATGGCTACGTTTACGGAAGGTTGTGCACAATTAGGTTAAAGAGTGTCCGGAGTGTCAACAATCAAAGCCTAACCGTCAAACAGGGAAGCACCGACACAGTGAGTATCGATAAGCTGAAATCAGCTTATAAAGATAATGATCCACCACAGGTATTATTAAACCGCCAAACTAACGAAGTAATCACAGAATCGCTAAGTAGTGAAGTGAATCCTTAGCAGGTGGCCAAAAGGGTTAGGTGGGCACGACCAGTTATTCAAATTGAGATACCTACAGTTTTGACTTCAGTCTGAAATTTAACCACACATCTACTAAACCTCTGGTTTGAATAACTTTTGGTTAGTTTATTAAGATAACAAAATCAAAAGAGGAAAGTAGGTACCATTAACAAGGTTTGACTTGATAATTTCAAATAAATCAGGCACTGGGTAGACCGTTATAAATAAAATTAATATATTAGTAATATCGCAAAGAATAGAAGAGTTAGATTTTCTGAAGTTTTGTAACTCATTGTAAGCCATTTTTCAGAGAAAAAATTGCCAAATAGAAAGTAGCTCAAGTTTAAATGGTGTTGTATTTTTTAAAAATAATTGTAGTCACAAATAGTATCTTGACCGCCTTCTTCATAGCTTTTACTTTTGATATATGAGTGTTATATCCCTATTTTGTGCCGAGCACATAAACAATTTACCTCTTAACAATTCAACGAGAAACATAAGTGAAAAGCATATCAACTGGGGTGAGTAACAAAAAGACGAAGAATCTTCGGCTGTGGTGGGTGATTTAAGAGAACTTCGCCTGCTGAATTATCCATTTTTCTAGATTTTCCCACCAAGAGAGAATTGTATGAAAGCATCGGACAAAGTTCATGTAAACAATTACTATTAAGCCAAACAATGAACCGTCTAAATAAAGACGAATAACAAAAACAATCCAGACGATTTTCATTAGTTCACCGAATGATCTATCACGGCTACAGTAATTTATAACATTCAGCATCTTATACTCATCTAGACTAGCCATATACATTGCCATTTAAGAACCCGTAAAGTGGTTTTCGGTATAAGATACATTCGATGGTTTTATATAACATACTTCTTTCAAAAAGTGGTCTATAAATGGAGCATTTTAGACCAAGCAATAATGTAACGACCGAAATGATGATATTGGGTTTGAACGCGGAACTAACGAACCAAAGTCTATTCGATTAGAACAGAATACGTTCTTCTGTATAGCGTAAAAAGAGTTTTAGAGTTACTCGTATTGAATTATATCAAAACACTAACTCCGAGCTTAATTAAAATGGTTCTAATTTAATGAAGAGAACAAATATCAAAAATACAAAATACCTCATATGATACAGCCTGTGTTATACAGGAAGGGGTTTCTGTAACACAAATGAGTATGCTAATCAAAAAAATCGTTAACACATAGGAGTCAAATATCTGAGAATTAATAAAATTTCTTTTCAACAGAATGGGATCGTATATCTATCTGCAGGGATTCAGAAATCCGTCCAGACAGACAGTCGAGGGTTAACAATCGCACGCTGAACCACGCCCTGACCCTGAGCTCGATTAAACAAGACGTTATTGTCAGTGATTCGTCA